AGCACAACGACAACTAGCACAACCACATCGACAAGCACAACGACAACCAGCACAACTACATCGACAAGCACAACGACAACGAGCACAACCTCGTACGGCGTAGTTCTACAAAGATAAACTTTACATAATGTATATCGACACTTGTTCTAGGTCAACATCAACTACTACGACAACGACTACTACGTAGGTTCTTTACGAATTTTCAAATTTGACATGTGATCTAAAGAGAGTAGGTGACTCTCATCAACGGCAATCATAGCAGTCGCTGCTTTTCTTTGAATAAAGAAAAATATCACTTACAAAACCAGAATCTCTTGTGGATCGAAACTAAATCGATTAAGTTGATCATATTCAACAAATAATGATAAGTTTCGATCAATATCTAGTGCATTTTTGTCTGAAAAAAATAGGTTCTAATACAATACTCATTCCACGATTTGAAGCATCTTTTCCTCTTTAAACATCATGCAAAACGAGAAAAATATTTCGTGAAGAATCATTCAACTTTCAGAGCCTCTATCGTGAGTGGAGGATGTTTTGACAAGTTATTTTACTGCATTGTATTGTTCGTTATGAGTAATAGCGAGCACAGTCATAGTCATCTGATAGAAAAAGAATATTGTTCATTTTTTGCACATAGAATCTCGTAGCGTATCAACCTAGGAGCTAGAGAACACACTAATCATATTATACGGGCTTTACCAATAATAGACAGATGTAGTGATAGACCTGGAGCCGTTCGAATAAACTGGTTAACTTTGAAACTCTTTCGAATTGTGATGTATTTTTTGGTGAAAAAAAAAACAAAATTGTTTTGCACAAAAACGGAACAGAAAACAGATTCAGCTATGTGTGATCGCTCATTTTGAATGATTTAGAACAACGTCCACAACTTCTACAACTACTTCGACGACGACCACCACCACTTCGTAAGCAGCTCCTCTTTTGGACTTTTCGATTGAATATCTTGTTCTTGTTCAATTAGAACTTCGACTACGACAACCACAACAACAACACAAATATGTCTGTAGTGATTGTTGTTTTGTTCAAACGCATGACATGATTCTTTTAGCTGTTCCTATCGATTGGTTATTGATCGGCACTCTTATTGGTTTCGTTCTTCTAAGTGCATGTCCATTATGTTGCGCTCTATTGTACCTCTGTTGCTAGTACGTTTGTATCATCCGTTGTTCATTCAATTATGATCGGTTTTTTTTTCATTTTGAATTCAGCAAAGATGTGGATCGTTCTGTAGTTTATAACAAAAACAAAACTTTCGAGTTCTACTCTATCGAACGATGTACTGATCCTTATTGTCTACGACAAAGCAGGACAAACGCTCATCGTATGT